TCTTCTTAGCTCACTTTTCACATTTATACTCTTTATACTGTTAATACAAATTTTTATGAAAATTCTGAAGGAAACTATGAAAGGGCTGACAATAAAGCCATTAAGTTCAAACATGTGTTCCCAAGCAGTTTACCGTGGACTGTTTTGAGACTATATGCAAATTACGTCTTGCTTGCAAATCACCACAAAATTTGCATATCAGGCTGAGCAAGAGTTCGTGACAGTAATTGGTACATAGGGTGGATAAGGTATTCTCAGTGGCCAAGATTGGGTCTTTTAGCCATATGTCTCTTTTCCCTTGTTTTTGACGATCTTTGTTCCGAAGTTTTCAATCAAATCAGCTCAAAACAGGAAAGAGGTCTTGATGGTTTTACCGGCCCTTCGTAATTTGCATAACGCGACATTATAATATGATAACATGCACTGGCGACTATATACCCGAAAGGGGAAAAACCTCTACCATTTCTCCAAGAGAAGGAACAAGCAAAGTATGGTCTCACTTGAATTTAGAATTTTTATTTAGTTCACGTGGGAAACAAAACATGCACTAAGAGGTGAATATAATTACATAAAATTGAGATGTTCGGTTCTTCAAAAGTAAGTAACAAGAAAGATAAATTCTTGGTAAAATAGTTTATTAGCGATGTAAAGACAAATCTGCTGCCCCAAAGTAACACGTTATAGAGAAAGACCGCATACTTCCTTCCCCCCCACCAAACTCCATGAACAAATTCAACTGTCACACAAGCTCGTTCGGCCTTTATGCAAATTTTGTTATAGATTCAAGCGAAACAAATTTGCATACAGTCTCTAAAGTCGGCTCGATCAGTGTTTTAGTGGATTTTAGCGCAAAGAACACCAACACGTCGTATGAAGCACACAAGGAATACAAATGTGCAAAGCTTAGACGTTTTCAGGAGCAGCCGTTCTGATCGAGCCGCGACATAAAGTGACGGTGCAGATGTCAAACTTACAGAGACCGCAGAATGGAGAAAACGGCAAAAAATATTGAAACTCTGGACTCATATGAACAGCTAAGATTATAATCTTTGAGTTAAGGCTATTATATTTACTTTCAATTGCTATATGCATCGGAGTTGTGTTAATTTTTATTATATCAATGTCTGGATGGTCAAATGTACACAACAGGACGGCGTATCCTTTTTGTCTTTCTTCACGATTTTCAAAAAATTTCAAATTCATTTCCCCAAACTAAACTTTACATATTCTGAAAGACCACCAACTCTAGTATCATCATTCGTAATCTTACGAGATTCTGAGCAAAGACACATGCTAAAAATTATCGTTGTTTCTCGCCTACCATTTTACGCAACACGGGAGCCATAAGCTTTTGACTTCTCTTGAATACTGGAATTAATCTAATCTTTATCAAATCACGGTGTTTAGACGTACAAGACAGTACTAGACAGTGACAAGTTGTGCAACAACTTGGAACTGTGATAGTTTTTTCTAGCGTAGTTTCTTTGATACGCGAGTCGAGTCAATCATGACCTATTTTTAACTTGTTGGGTGTCGCCAAATCGATCCTGTAACGTGTTCGCTAAGACAGACAGTGAAACACCAGAGACTCTAAAAACAACATTTAATCTTGTAAGCCGAGTGCACATCAAGCGAAGGGGACAGATACATCCGGGAACTCAGATGTAAGGTAAACTGTATAAATTAACTCAACATACATAAATTAACATCGTTACATCTCCTCCCGTTATTCAAAGCGGAAAGAATAAACAAGGAAAAAACCTAAATCGTTTCTTAGAGTCATTGTTCGGGGAATATAAACAACATAGGTAAGTGTCAGCATGTATAGGCACGGAGGTATGCTGGTCTACGTAGGACTCTTCCCCGCGCGCTACATCTTTCTGGACTCGTTACGTCATCAGCTGGAGGGTTCGGTGTTGCTTGTGGCTTGACCATCTCTTGGGGCTTTGATTCCACGACTGTTGGTACCTGTTCAACTTTGGTCAGGGGCAGGGGACCACGATCGGAGCTAGGTATCTCTATGTCAAGAGGTGATTGTTTAGGGAGTTCGGCTGTGAGACGCAGGTGTCGGCGGTTCCTACTATGCACCCGTCCGTCGTCAGTGGTAACTTGGTATGAGCGTACACCAACTTGTTTGTGAACCGTTGCTTGGGTCCATTGTTGTTTATATTTTGGTGGATTGATACGTACGGTGCTCCCTGGCTCAAGTGGTTGGAGTTCTTTGGTGCCATTGTTGTAATAGAAGGCTTGTTTGTTCTTTTGGGCCTGAATAAACTGGGAAGTGGTGTGAAATTCAGGTTGTGTTAGTAGTCGCCCAGAGGTAGGTAGGAGGGTTTTGGTACGGCGGCCAAAGAGGCGCTGAGGTGGAGACGTTCCTAGCCCTTCCGTGGGGGTGTTGCGAGAGTCAAGGAAACCCAAGTAGGGATCACTGCCAGCCTCTGAGGCTTTGAGCATGATTCGCTCCACAGTCTTTACCGCGTTTTCCGTCTTGCCATTTAACTGCGGGTAGGTGGGGGAGCTTGTTACATGATCAAACTCATATAATTCTTTGAACGTCTGAAATTCCTGTGAGCTGAATTGGGGGCCGTTGTCGCTTACTATCTTGTCCGGGATTACATGTCTTGCCATATGAGGCTTGAGCTTTTCAATTACTTCTTTTGATGTCTTACTAGCAAGTTTATCCACTTCAAAGAGATTTGAGTGATAATGAGTGGTGACAAAGTAATCCTGGCCCTGGAGCTCAAAGAGATCAACGGCAAGGACCTGCCACGGTCTTGATGGTACTGGGTGTGAGATCATGGGCTCCCTCTGCTGCCTTTGGTGGTGTGACTTGTAGACTTGGCAGGGGGAGACATGTTCTTCAATCTCTTTGTACACACCAGGCCAGCAGAACGCTTCCCGTGCCCGTCTCAGGCCTGCTTGTATTCCCAGATGACTGGAGTGTAGCTTTCTTTTGAGTTTAGCTCTCATTTGAAACGGTATGACAACACGGTCTCCTCTGAAAATAACTCCATTTAGGAGATCAAGTTCTTCTTTGAATAGAAAGTAGTCTTGAACTTCCAGTGGGAGATAGAGCTTACTTTCTGGCCAGCCTTGTTTGATGACGCAAGCAAGGGTCTTGAGGATAGCGTCTTCTTGAGTAAGGTTTTGGATTTGGCGAAGAGTTTCGTCTTTGACCGGAAGATACTGTAGCATGTTCACTTGCTCTGCTTCTATCTCTGTTGGAGATCTAGTATCTGAGACTGTCATGACATCTTCCTGATCCTCAGTAGCTTCCTTAGGCGTCAGATACGCGCGACTCAGGGAATCAGCCATAAGAAGGGAGGTTCCCTTTTTGTAGGATACTTCAAACTCGTAGCGTTGGAGTCTAAGGAGCATTCGTTGTAGCCTTTTGGGTGCGTTCAGGAGGCTTTNAGACTTGGCAGTTGGAGACATGTTCTTCAATCTCTTTGTTCATACCAGGCCAGTAGAACGCTTCCCGTGCCCGTCTTAGGCATGCTTGTATTCCCAGATGACTGGAGTGTAGCTTTCTTTTGAGTTCAGCTCTCATCTGAAACGGTATGACAACACGGTCTCCTTTGAAAATGACTCCATTTTGGAGAGCAAGTTCTTCTTTGAATGGAAAGTAGTCTTGAACTTCCAGTGGGAGATAGAGCTTACTTTCTGGCCAGCCTTGTTTGATGACGCAAGCGAGGGTCTTGAGGATAGCGTCTTCTTGAGTAAGGTTTTGGATTTGGCGAAGAGTTTCATCTTTGACTGGAAGATACTGTAGCATGTTCACTTGCTCTGCTTCTATCTCTGTTGGAAACCTAGTATCTGAGACTGTCATGACATATTCCTGATCCTCAGTAGCTTCCTTAGGCGTCAGATACGCGCGACTCAGGGGATCAGCCATAAGAAGGGAGGTTCCCTTTTAGTACGAGACTTCAAACTCATAACATTGGAGTCTAAGGAGCATTCGGTGTAGCCTTTTGGGTGCGTTCAGGAGGCTTTTACGGAAGATTGCCTCCAAGGGCTTGTGATCAGATTCGATAAGCACTTTCTCTCCATACAGGTAGGTTTCAAACTTCTCCATTCCGAGTACTATGGCCAGTAACTCTTTTTTGATTTGCGCATACTGGACCTCTGTGGGGGTCAGAGACCTGGATGCATATGCGACTGGATGTCCGTCTTGCATTAGATATGCTCCCAGGCCATGCATGGAGGCATCACATTGTAGTGTGGTTGTGGCACTTGGGTCAAAGTATTTTAGGACTGGAGTCGTAGAAAGGATCTTCTTTGTCTCATCCAGGGCTGCACCATGAACCTGCTCATCCCATTGGAACTCGTCGTTTTTGGTGAGCTCGCGTAGAGGAGTCATGACCTCTGAAAGTATCGGAGCAAACTTTTGCAGGGAGTTAGTCATCCCTACGAGACGTTGGATGCTCTGTTTGTCGGTCGGTGCTGGCATCTCTTTGATTGCCTTGACTTTTTCAGGGTCAGGTTGCAGCCCCTCTGCAGAGAGCATGTGGCCCTCGTAGGCCCCTCCCTTAAGCCTAAGCTGCAGTTTTCCCCTGTTTAGCTTCACGTCTTTTTCTCGGCATCGTTGGAGGAGAGCAATTAATAAGTTTGTCGTCGTGGTCTTTTACTGCTTCATCATCGTTAGCTCCACATCTCCCAATTACGAGGATGTCATCAGCGATCGCCTTGCATCGCATTAGCCCTGCTAATGCCTGATCCAGTCTTCGCTGGAATTCTTTAGGGGGCCAGTGAGATCCCAAATGGCATTCGAAGCCATCTGTATCTTCTCCAAGGAGTGCCAAATGTGGTTGCGTAACTACTTTCCTCGTCTAACGACACATGCCAAAACCCATTTTTGGCGTCTAACACAGTAAAGCATCTTGCGTTTGAGAGCTCAGGAAGGACATGCTCGATTGTCGGCAGAGGGTAGTGATTCCGTTTGAGGGCTCCGTTAAGTGGTTTGGGATCCACAGTGAGTCGAACATTGCCATTCTTCTTCAGGGTAACGACAGTTGCTGATATCCAAGAGTTAGGCACATTTACTGGCGTGATGATATTAAGGCCTTCCAAGCGATTTATTTCCTCTTTTAGGTTTTCTTTAATGGCGATCGGCACCTTTCTTGTTGGGAGTTGGACTCGTGGTACGTTCGGGTCAATTTCCAGGTGGAGGTCACCTTCTAACTGTCCTTCTCCTCTGGATACATCGGCGTATTCTTCGAGAATAGATTCCGTCGTAAGTGGTGTTTTGCTCTGCGATGGTTCTTCCGCTTGAAGAGCCATGATGTTATGTCGGACCACAGATATGAGTTGCATTTGCTCACTGGCTCGTAAACCAAGCAGTGGCTTCCCTTTCCCCTTTATAACTACGAATTTCACGCTGTATTTTTTTCCATCTCTGGGGTTCACAACTTGAACACGTTTCTTGCCA